TCCTTGAGGTATTGCCCAGAGAAGAAATAGGAATGTCCAGAAATTCTGACCAACAGTTAGCAATGTGATACATTAATAATATATTGGATCATCTAATTATATTATATTACAGATTTCTTTATGTATTTCTCCAAACCTTTAGATGAGAGTTTGAAATTAGTTACCAAATGCTGCTTGTAATGACTATTGTTCTGGGGGATCTAATAATAGAATAAAACAAGACATGAATCTTCAGGGACTTCAGGGTTTGTTTTTTTTCTTTTTGAACTTCAAGTGCCAGGATTTCAGAATTATACTCCGCTACTTTCAGGAAGAAAGGAAGGGCCGTTTTGTGATATACAGTGCCAGATGCTTTCACAACCACAGGCAATCCATTTCATATCACGATGGCTCTTCATTGCAAAGGGATGTTTAGACAAGTGAGATGGGCTAACATGTGTTTCCCTAGATGGTACTCCAGTGCTGTAGGCTCAGGCCCAAAGAATGAAAAAAATAGTCTAGGGGATGGGGTGCAGTTTTTCTTGGACTATACCAAACCTCCCCCTATTCATTTCCTCACAGTCTCTTCATGTCAACTTCACTCTACACTTCTCTTCTTCCCATCTTCTTACCTTGTACACACTAGGGACTGACTGGTCATGTTGCAGTATGGCAGAAAAGGACCTAAGACTCACAGTGGACCATAAGTTCATCACAGGGGCACAGAAGGGAATTGGTGAGTATTTATTCACCAAAGCGCCCCCGGGGGTTACAAGAAATAATGGCCACAAGCTAGCATAGAGCAGATTTAGACTGGACATTAGGAAGAACTTCTTCACAGTTAGAGTGGCCAAGGTCTGGAACGGGCTCCCAAGGGAGGTGGTGCTCTCCCCTACCCTGGGGGTCTTCAAGAGGAGGTAGGATATGCATCTAGCTGGGGTCATCTAGACCCATCACTATTTCCTGCCTATGCAGGGGGTCGGATTCGATGATCGATTGAGGTCTCTTCTGACCCTAAGATCTATGAATCTATGAATAAGGTGAATATGAGCCATTGCTCTGGCAGAGAAGTGCTAGAGAAGGGGTTGTGGCAGAATGCCACCTCTGCCTCTCCCCAAAAACTCTGCTATGGGACAATTTGGTTAACATGGTCCCTGCAGAAGAAAGACATCCCGTGGGCTCTTCAGGTAACCCTGAGTTGTAACCTGAGCTGGATACATTCCTGAGGGAGGGGGAAACCTGCTCCCTCTGCCTACGTGACTGGCACCACATACCTGGGTGAGGGCTTAAGCTCCCTATTGTTCTCAGCAATGCCAGTCTACCAGGCAACCAGTGATACATTTCGAATTGGTTGGCTAGCAGGCAACAGGTGCTGGCCTCCATTGGACCAGGCAAATGAGGTCATAAGGTCTATATAAGTTAAGTAATGCCCAGGAGGAGGGTGTAGCCATGATGAAAACTTAGAGAGAAGCTGGACCATCTGAAACTTGCTCTCTCTTGAAACTCATGATCAAGGAACTGCCTGCCTCCAGAGGGAATCTCCACCTGCCTCTGGATGATCCTTGTGAGAAAGCTACCTGAGATCTAACTAGATATATAGCTTGCAGTAACTCAGATGTGTGATCAAAGGCTACCCAGCCATGCCAGTTTGCTCTATGGGATTTCTTTGATATTGCTGTATCCTGTACCCTATTCCAAACCGACTCTTTGTAACCAATAAAGTTTTACATTGTAGCTAGTGTGTGAGATTTAATGTGAGTGGGTCTAGATTATGCCTTGGGGTCCCCTTGGTTTGGCTGACTAAGGGAGACCACTACTTGTGCTTCTGACTGAGGGAAGCACCCCAGGTTCTTGAAGTGGGTTGAGTACCCTCAAGGGCTACTAGGCCTGTTTTTCCCAGGGGGCACAGAGCCAGGATCACTGCAGACCCTGGCTGGTGGTGGCGTTTCCCCCAAACTAGTGGGTGTGCTCCAGGAAGGGGGTCAGCTAGACATGAGGCACCCCCAGGGAGACACTCGGAGCCTGGAAGGTGGTCAGATGCAGTGAGGTGGGTGGCTCAGGACAGAAGCACCCACTACTGGCCTGCCACAGGGATTTTGACATGGCAGACCTGTAGCATGGAAATTAAAGCCCTGTTGTTGAGGGAACAAATATTCAGGATCCCTCTGGGTGAGCAGGACCCAAAATCTAGACACTATGGTCATTTATCTATTAACCTATTGGTGAGAAACAATGAGAAGTCAACAATTGTTTGAAGTGTCTACAGTCACTATGAATCCACAAGGGGTGCATATATGTGCCTGGCTGCCACTTTGCATGCTTGGTCTGCATGCACCTATGTAATCACGCACATGCATGGAAACATATGTCCAGGAACAGAATCTGTCTGGCCATATAGATGATCAAAAATGGGCACTCGGGTGACCAACAAAAAACAGAATGTCACCCCATGTGTGCTCTGCTTCTTTTCTCATTGCATGTTGGGGACCATCTACTACTCTCTGCTCATACAGAACTTGGCACAATGGGTTTCTGATCCTGAGTACAAGCCAAAGAAATCCTTAATAAATATTATTAATATTGATAATTAACATTGTAAAAGTTTTTGAAGAGAACTATTTGCTATAGGAACAACAAGCTGTATATGTTCATACACAAACTCATTATTCCAATATATAAGTGAAAGGATGGAAATAAGAAAATGTATATGTGTAAAACTTAATTAGGTGTACATGTCTGTGTGTTGATATATCTATATTTAAAGATCATAGGAGTGAATAATGGTGTTCGTGCTTCAAAAGTTCTGGACCACAAGGAAAATTTCATTTCTGCTTTATATCAACCTCATAGTGCTATCAGACCCCTGATATTTAAAAATATGTATGACTGATTTTCAGTTTAGTGTCCCCTACTTTGGTGCCAGGTTTGAGCTACAGTACATAAATAAGAGGGAGTTTCAGCTTATTTCCTGATCAGTGCTTCTAGGCAGTGGCTTCCCCAAGAACAGCTATTGTAAACTGATACCTTTTTGGGAACTGCCAGAATACCTGATATATTCTTTAAGGTACAGGCTGTGCTCATTGTGTTCAAAAAATGCCTTGCACCTATGAGTATTACATCAATATATACACTAAGTGTAATTTTCTTCCCATCTTTCTACCCCTTTCCACTAGGTGAAATGGCTGATGTCCTAGGATTTCCTCTGAGCTGGCACTGTGGAAACAGTTGTTAGGCAGCTTGCTGAAAAGTTCATCACTGTACATTTGTATAGGGAAAGGGCCAGAAAAGTCTGGTCCAGGGGCTGGATCAGACCTACAGTGGGCATTATTTCCCAGCAGCCCCTGCCTGTGTCGCTGTGGCCAGTTTCCATGGAGACCCCAGCAGTGGCAGCACTGTCATAGTGTGGGGCCAAGGTTTCCATGGAGACTGGCCCCAGCGGCACTAGCAGGACATACAGATGGGCAAGGAGATGCTCTGGGGCAGGGATGTTGTGGCAATGACAGCATGGTCCAGAACCAGGGAAGAGCTGTGATCCATTGCCTTCACACACCAGGCAGGGGCATGAAGGCAGGGGATGGTTGCTCTGGCCTGGCTTTGGACCATTCTGTCACCACTGCAAGATCCCAGCCCGGGTCATGGAGCCCTTCCTGGCCAGCCACATATGCTACCAGCGCTGCTGGGGCCAGTCTCCATGGAAACCATGGCCCTGAACTGTGACCTCCATTGTGACTACTGTGGTCTCTGTGGAAACTGGTGATGTAGCCATGTGTTGCTGAGAAACGGAGTCTGGCCGCTGGACAGATCCACTATTTTCCCCATCCCTGGTATACAGGGTATGAAAGGGTAGGACTGTATGCCACAAGGAAGTATATTTCTGAAGGGTGTGTAGTTAACTTGTAAAAGAAGATTGTAGGAGGGTGGATGGGTCTCTCCAACCTCACTCAGAGATCGCAAGCCATGACATAAGATGGGCAAAAAGGTAAATGTTATTTCCTAAGTGAGGTGTGATGTCATTGACCACCCGGTTGACTGTAAACAGTGTATTTCATTTATTGATTACTTTTACAAAGTCTAATGAGTCACATCCTCCGCTCATTAACTGGAGCGCGGTTTCCTCACCACCTCACTAACTGGTAACTTCCTTGCCTGGTACCCTCCTAATTTCCCTTTTCTGACTCTCCCTTCACAAGTTCCCCAGACCCGTCTTCAGCTATCCTTGCCACAGGTGACCCCTCGGGTAAGTATCCCACCGCTCACCAGATTGCCATTTGATCCATGGACCCCGTGGCTTATGTGTTCCCATCCTGCCTCATCATCCACCAAGGACTCCTACTTTTCTTCTAGTGCCCTGAGGGCAAGGCTCTTCCACTTGGTGCTCACCTTGAAGTGTGATGGCCACTTTCATCTTCTTTATTTCCCCCCAGTGTGTGGATCTTTGTCAGCTGGGTCTCACCAGATATATCCCTCATCCTTTCTGTAACCCGTCGCCCCTCCCCTGCAGTGACCAGAGTCCCAGGGTCTTCCCTTCAGACCCTAAGTAACAGGTCTGCTATCTTAATACACTGTTACAAAGATAGTAGAACCCGGTTCAAAAAGGGAATAGACAAATTCATGCAGGATGGGTCCAGTGGGAACTCTTAAATAGAACAATTGGGGCTGTATCCATCCATATACACATATTCTACCAAAAATTTAGCTTGGCAAAAAAATCTTGGCCAGCACTGTAATCAGAACCTTTCACATTGCACCAAGTATGTGACACATTTTTTTTTTTTAATTTCATTTCATGGGCCAAATAACTTCCAAATTATATTGGACAAAGCCCAATAAATAGTCAAGTTACAAATTTTGACTGAGCAGTGCTCGGTCATTCATGTCTGTGTGACTCTACTACCACACAATCTTGGACTTTGGATATTCTCCAAATCCATGGCAGGCATGCTACATGCAAGCCCAGAGGCCTTGGGTTCAGATGTCCCCTAGTCTCATTTGCCCCTAGCCAAAAGGCCAACTGGCAATCCACAGGGAAAGCAAGAATACAGTCTCCTATTACCACAAAATTGTGCAGTTGAGTTTCTCATATTTGGGGAAGCTCACAGGGGTCAGTCTGCCTGGAGTGCAAGGGGAAGACTTCACCCTATAACTATACTTCATCAGCTGAGAGGATCATGGGATCTCCCCGGGAAGCATGTGACATAATATATGCACCAATTATGGGACACTATCTTGAGCTGGGCAAAATGTTTAGTTAGTTCAAGGGCTGTTTTGGGTCAACCCAAACTATCAATGAATTCATGGCAATTTCAGTAAAAAATGTGTTGGTGGGGTTTTAAAATACTGTTTTGAGACTTTTTTTTTACGCTTCCTTAAAAAAAAAATTGACCTAACATTATTTTTGACTTTACAATTCACTCACAGAACTGAAATATCACTCATTCACACAGCTCTAATTATATCCCAAACATCTGTTTTACATTTTTCTTACATTTTTAAAATCTGCTCTGAGTAGGCATCTCCAATAACTCATGAGTGTTTTCTGTAATGAGGAGCTCTATATTCATACTTAAAGTAAATCTCAGTAACAATACTATTAATGATAATCATGATTCCAGTAGCATGTTTAAGCTTCTGGACTATTCCTTTTCCCACTTTAAAAATTATAAATAATCAGGTAACATTTCCACAGCAACCATTTTGAAGAAACTATTTAAATTACGTTATTTTTAGACACCAGGTACTGAATTATTTTCATTGTTCTTGTGATTTTCTTTGCCTATATTTTTGACAGCCTATCAACAGGTTCTAAAGTTATTTTTCCTTTCTTTGTTATTATCTGGAAGGGGAGAATTGAGTTTCTCCTAAGTGTTAGATTTTCTCTGAAGCCTTAGATATACTGTTTTCAGCTAAAGATACATTTTGGTCCCACCCTGTCTTTCGACCCTCTAATGCTAGAAAAATTCTTGAATCAACTTGAATTTCTTATGAGAGGAGAATTAGAAAGAATAAAGTTTTCAAAGGATGGCAATTAAATTTGTTATATATAAATATCTGAGCTAATATTTTGTTGCAAAACGATTGCCATAAACCAACACTTTTATGTATGTGTTCAACTGTTTATCTACAAAATCTTAACCTTTCCTTGGTTAAGCATTCACTCGTTGGATACAATTTTTCCCAATTTCATAAGAAGAATTTTTGATTCAACAGAAATTACACAGTGGGCTTAGGTAATGGAGTGTGTTGGAGCTCATGGAGGAGGGCAGGTTTCTTAGGCATAGTCAATTGTGGAAATGCATGGAACAAAATGACAGTAACAGTTAAAACCTAAACAAGCATATTAAATACTGGGACAGCTACATACAATGACTTGGAGTGAACTTCTGGTCTATACAATAGACATTTTGCAAATGACTTCTTTAAAGAAAATATACCCCTTGTTATCTTCAGGAGCAACAATATAAGCATTTAAATGACAAGCTTCTGGTCTCACTTCAGTCAGAACATAGCTACAATAGGACTAAACAATTCAGCTCTATGGATTTCAGATTTTTTTCTTTCCAGACAATTAAGAATTAGTAAAGTGCATTGTAATATTTTCCAGGCACAAAATATTTGTTTCATCCTAGAACTTGGAAACAAACAATGACTGCTATTCTGACACTCTTTGGGCTGCGTCCACACATGGCGTGGACGTTTGGTTCCCTGGGGACAACTAGCAGCGGTGTACTTTGCGATGCCGGTAGTTGTCCTCAAGGAATGCCTGTGCCATGTCCCCTGGCACACAGCAAGTTACCCCAGGTGGGGTAGGGGAGGCTGCGGCCAATACTGGGCTGGCCCCATCAACCTTACCTGGGGTCCTGGGGGCTGGGGCTGGGGCTGCAGTAGAGGTGATTCTGCCAGGCAGAGCCTGGCTGGCAGTTGCAGCACAGCTGCAAGTATCCTGGCTCCGCTTTTGAGTAGCACATGCTGTCCACGCATGTGCTGCTATGCTTCTTTTTCTCTGCAGGGTTTTTGACCAGGTCAAAAAAACCTCCATGCTGCTCCCTTGCAGTGTGGAAAACAACTGAATGTGTGATAAGTGGCAGCGGTGCCACATACCATATGGCTGCACTCATCTGGACAGGGCCTTGGAGAACATGTATTTAGGTATCATTTATTCACCTGCTATCTAGCATGGAAGCACCTTTTATTCATTAATGTATTCATCCTCTCAATATCCCACTGGATAGGAAAATTTTAACCTCAGCTTGCTGATGAGAAACAGAAGAAAAGGCTAGCTTGATTGTTCAAGGATACACAGGATTTGCACAGCAATTTCAAGAACTGGAACGATGTTTCATGAATCCCAGTCCAATGTGCTACTCACCAGGCTGCCCTTTCTAGTCTAACAACGGACTCAAGTACATTTTGGCACATGTGTGCCATGACCCTTGTACCTATTCTATAGCACTTTTATACCTATTCAAGAAGTTCGGGTTCTCCTCTCATGTTGGGCTTTTTCCTGCAGAGACTCTAACAACAGGGCCAAATGAATACCATATTCATGATGAGGACATCTCTTTGCCAATACCTAAATTAAAACCATTGGGTTTCACACCCATCTCCAAACAGCCATCAGCTGGTAATAGCATATCCTCCTCATCAAGGCAGATTGGATTTCAGCCTGTACCCAAAATGTGAGCAGTCCAGCCCTCTTCAGATGTTCAGTTCTAACAAGCCAAAGACGGATCAGTTGTTTCACTGAGGCTGGTCAAGTGAATGTTTCATTTCACATAGCATACACAGGAGAGGATATTGTTGTTATCTGAAAAGCTTGTGATAATCACTTCACCCAAACTATATTTGTCTGAGAAGTCTGTCAGACAATGACAGTAACAAAATATTTTAAGTCATACTAGTTTCCTTAACATGCTTACATGCTATACCCTTTAATGAGTATATATGAAGCCTGCTAGAAAAAAAAATGGATAACTCTTTAAGCAAAACTGTTTGAAAATAAACGTATGCTGTTCACATTTTTCCAACATAGGATCAGGAAAGTTAAAGTTGCGTTTAAATGCTGTTTTGAGCCAGGTCCGATTTTATTTTTTTTTATTTTAAAAAAAAAGCTTCTCTTGCATCTGGGGAGCAACTAGCACAATTTGTCCCTGATACTGATTGGTGCCGCTGGGCTCTACTACAGTAAGAATGTAATAATTCATAATCCAGACAAGGTGTCTGTGTATTCGTGAGACTGCAGTAAAGGAAGGGAGGTCCAGGGCTGAAGAAAAGAATTGCTTTATTTCTGGAAAAAAAACAAAAGGATTAGTATCTCTGTGTGACATGTCATACATCTAAGACCAGAAAGGATGTTCTGACTGAATAATATGTATAGTGCTCTAAGTAGAACAAATCCAATACTCTTTTCCTTACCTTGTCATCCTTAAGTATCTGTCACCTTTTTAATCAAGGATTTCCTGGCAGAGGAGAAAAGGTGGGAGGGGAGGAAGAGGACAACAAAAAGTAGTAACAACAACCACCCTCTTTTATTTTGTGGCTCTATTTTGTCCCTGGTTTTGTTTGATTTTTCAAGAAGTTCTAGGGAATTTTTTTTTCTCCAAGTTTTTGTTTAGATTCATGTTTTATTTTAATTTACCAGATCAGTGTTGCAAGTCAAATACTTTTCATAGCTAGCTCTGAATTATAGTCCTGGGATTCTGCTATAAATAGTGAATGATTAGAATTCCACCAAAAAGCACCGATTGCTCTTACTTGATTGTTTTGGTCATTAGTATTAAATGAGAAAAAAAAACAAAAAAAACCATGCACACACAAAAGCAATTATAGCTAAATGTGCCATTCGGGAAAACAGAGTCAAAACTAAGCCTAAAAGGCATTTAAATGCTATTATACTGGATGTGATTGTACCTTAGGACAAACTGCATTCTTTTGCTCTTACAGTTCATAATTTCATTTGATTTTGAGTAAAATTGCAACTAGCCCTTACAAGCTTCACGAAGGAAGTAACACAGATTTCTTTTCCCCAACATGCTTGATGTTTGAAGGAGTGCAGAATCTATATGCCAAATGCTTCCTGAGGTCGGGAATAGGAAGACCTTTTGGTGAAGCCTCACAATACTATTGTATCATTGAATGCCAGCTGCATAATTCAAAGAATCATAGAGAAGCAGGGCTGGAAGGGACCTCCAGAGGTCATTTAGTCCATGAGGCAGAATTATCCTTATCCAAACCACCCTATACAAATCCATTACATCTAACCTATTAGTAAAACTACAGTCAACTCTAACACAACCACAAAATATAAACCCCTAACCTGCCATAGGTAAAACAGAGGGATCATGACAGCCAACATCCTGACGCTGCAAAGTTTGTTAAAAAATGCTCAAGAAATCCAAGGAAGAGAGTCATGCCTCACATCTAGAGGAAGGCCAAAAACCTCACTGTCTGTACCAAGGGATAAAAGTCCTTCCAACCTCAAATATGGTGTCACCCTGAGTGTAAGGAAAAGACCCTTGAGCTAGGAATTAACATGTTAATCTTGCTTTATCCCTGGCTTGTGATCCTGTTGCCCTTCGGGGTCAGGCCAAGTCTCAGGATCTCAATATTGTGTTGTTAGACAGGAGGGTGTGACGCAATTGTACATATACAAACACAGAAATCAATTAGGTGCATACACACACACACAACCAACTCAGGCACATACATATCCAAAGTAACCTAGGCACATGCATACCTATCACCAATTCAAGCACATACACTATACACCCCAAAAGATAGACAAAAATCAATTGTCCATACCCACACACACAGTACACATAAACAGATCACTAATTCGTATATCATGCACACAATGACATATACATATATACACACACACTCACCACTTCACACAGATATAACCCACCTACACATACACATAAGTAAGTTCCTAACTTGGATGGTACAGTATGTATGTGTGTGTTTGGGGTACCTGGGATACTTGGCAGAAGGCTAAGGTGAAAGAAAGAGTGAAAGTGTAGGGAGTGAAAGTTGCTAGAACCAGGATTAGAACTGGTGGACTAGAGAGAAGCTGGCTGAGGACCTGAGGCTTGGGTTTACTTAAGATCAAGTGGCCCCGGGGTTACTTGGGGTCACCTGGTGTCAGGGCGGAAGCAAGGAAAAAAAAAAAAAGAAGCCTGGTGGCAAGGAGG